TAGAATCCTTTATTTTATAGGCAAGGAGACCTAGGACTATTTAGGTAAAATGACTCATAAGTCATGGTAGTTGAGAAGTAAAGTTGGGGCTTGACAGTAGCCCTCCTGACCTGCATTTCAGGATTCATTTAATAGGCACCTGAGCTAGCTAGAAAAATTAAGAGAGGGGGGAATCAACTTATCCCATTGCTCAATAGCCCACCAGTCAGGTAGGTATGATAGGGTTGTCTTGACACTTAGATTCCTTAGAAACAAAAGAGGCCTAAAAATAGAGTATAGGGTTCAATGCCCATCCTCTTAATTTCTGGCTTTCTGTCCTGAATTAGACTAGTCTCAAAGTCTGTGCATTCTCCACATGGATAGAAATGGTAGACAATGGAATCTACATTAGTAACTTTTCCTAGATCATGTATGCTACTATTGAGCCATCAACTTCAGCTCTCTGGGCAAAGGAGGGAGCTAGAGTTTTAATTAAAGCCTCGAGTTGTCATTTGAAGCAGGGTGTGCTCAAGAGCAACCATCTGTCTGTAACCATCTGTCTGTGCTCATGGCTCAATAATCTTATTAAATGTAATAAATATACCTTCTACTCTTAAAAAAAACAAGGGCCCACCCTTTAATATTGTTTCATGGGGAATTCAGTGATGTGTTAACTCAGTGATGTATTAATGTTACTAATTACATATAGGAGCAAATTATTTGTTCAAATGCTGTATCTTGTTTAGAGAACCAGAGTTTACTAATGCTTGTAAGTAAAATACTCTTGTGTTCAAACAGAAAGATCAATACAAGATTGATTCTGTGTGTGTGTGTGTGTGTGTGTGTGTGTGTGTGTATGTGTATATCTGTTGGTGTGTTTGTACCTTAATCATAGAATGTGCAATTTGCAAACTTGACATTAGTTTCTATTTTCTCATTCTTATGAAGCAAAAATCACAAAAATAACTTTAATAAGTTCCCATACAAATTATCCTTTTGATGATCTATAAATATTCTCTTTTCTTTTTAAGACATAATTTTCTTTACAGAAAACCTTTAACCAAACACCTTGAACATGTTTGATTTGGAGCAAAAACCAACTAGTGGATAATAACTTAGATGTTAACCAAAATTCTGTATAGAACTCTACACATTGATTTGTATTAATGAATAGCATTTTAAAGTTTGCGTGCATACATTAAAGCTATGTATGCCAAACAATAGTCTTTTGATATACACAAGGTAACTTCTCTTTTTAGTATTATCATAAACTAAATTATTTCTTTTATCTTTAGATTTTTAATAGATTTAACTTATTTCAACTGATTATAATCATTTCTTTTTATGCATAAGTTATCAACTATACAAAATACTCCTATAATTGGAAACACTCTTTATGCTATTTCAGAAAATTCTAAGTGCATCATCACTCTCCAAAATCAGTAAGTCATCAAGTCTGTCTTGGTTTATTTACCTGAAGATTCAGTACTGGCTATTCATCCCCTAAGGATAGATGAATATAAATGCAAAGGATATCAGCCTGGAGTCAGTAATGCATATTTATATACTGACTACCGGTGGTAGGCAGACAATTCCAGGGGAACAACTTAAATTCCAATGAGAATTTTTCAAAATCAGAAGTTATATTGAGCTATGAAATTCAAGCATAGCATTATTAATTCCTTTTTTCTTGTGATTGAAGAGTTTTTCAATCTAGTATTATATCTTTTCCTTACCTGTGAGTCTCTCTCTCCTTTTTAATGTATTCTATATCATATTGAACTTATTTATTCATTCACTGAACAGATTTTTTATGGACTCCATATCATGTGCTACCATTTTACTAGGTTGTATAGATATAGCAGTAAACAAAGCAAAATACCTACCTTCATGGAACTTAACATTCTAGAAGAGTCACAGAAAATAAACCAGTAAACAAATTTGTGATTGTGTGTAGTGGTAAGTTCTAGGAAGAAAAAAATATCCGGGAAAGAAGAGAGAAAGTTATAGAGTAATAAGTGGGCTATTTATGACCGAGGACTGACAAAAGGCCTCACTGGGGAAGTTGTATTTGCCCATTAATGATGTATAAGATTAAATTACATGAGGACAAAGAAGAAAAGTGTCCTAGAAGGAGGAATAGAAATTGCCTGTCAAGTTTTTAATGAGGAAAGTAACTTTATAGCATTGAGGAAGAGCAGGGCATTTCTGTCACTTGAGCAGGGTGAGCTGTGGGTAGAGAATTAGCAGGTGAGGAGAGAGACACACATAGGGGTATCATGCAGATTTCTGGGTGCTGTGCTAAGAAATTTAGAGTTTTAATGACAAGCTATTGGAGAATTACAAAACAACAGGATATGATTTGCAATTTTAGACAATTGCTGAATATATTGGATATGGGAGTAAAGAAAAAAATCAAGGTGAACTACTAGATTTTTGGTCTGAGTATCTGGATGAATGGTGGTGCCATTTACTGGGATAGGGAAGTCCACAGAAGAGATCAATATGGAGAAAATTCAGAACTTCTGTTCTGAACATGTTTTAGATATCCAACTATCTCAAACCTTCATATGCCTGCTATGAAGGCAATTAGATAAATAAATTTAAAACTCAAGGAGAAGATCTGGGGTTAAATATAAAATTTGGAGGCCTCACTGTGTCTTTGGTATTCATAGTCAAGGGATGAGATAAAGTCTCATCAGGGTGAGTGTAGCAAGAGATGTCAAGAAGCTTACAACTATGTCCCGGGCAATATGACACATAGATTTGGGGAAGTCAAGGAAGAGTTAATTAAGGAAAAAACAGAAGTCACCAGT